CCCCCCCCCCCCCTCCCCTAACAGGCCTCCCACATAAGGGATTTTCACACAACAGACCAGCTCATCTGCAGGCAGGTTTTCCTCCTGCCCAACAGGTAAAATCCACCAAGCAGAATTCTGTTGGTTTAAAATTAGTGTTCATTGACAATTGAAAGTTTTAATTTATTATACAATTGAATTTGTCTGAAGGACTTTTTGTACAACAGACTTTTCTGTTTGCACAAATGAACAGGGGGCTGACTGTGAAATATCTTTTCATCTCACATGAATCTGAAAATTATGCTGTCAAAGTGTGAATACTGCCTGTATATGCATCAGTACTTTTTTTCATTTTTAAGGCTTGACATTTATTTGGATAATTTCATTCTTGAGCAAAATCTCATAAAGTATTCTATATAATGGATGAATAAAATCTGAAAAATGAGGAATGCATTTTTTAAAATCTATTGCAAAAGAGATTCAAGTTCATATATACCCCATATATTGACCTTAACAGTTGGGTAAGAAGAATATTCCATCAAGATTTGTTTGCAATTTTTAGATCCAGGCTCATGATTCATTATTTGTCTGCATAAAATAAAACTGTAAATATTCCCTGAGGTTTTAGGTGGAATATTTATCTTTCTTGGGAAAAGAGAAGGAAAATTGTCTGTAGATCTATATATTGAACTCCTGCATTTTATAGTTTGAGAATACAGCAGGTAAGCCTTGGTTAACAATAATGTAATTAGTTTTTTTTAATATAGTTCCAATTTAATTTTTCTTCATAGACCTTAATGGTGAAGACATTTATCAATTTTCCCCTAAAGACAATTGAAATTTTTAAAATGTTCTTGATTTTTTAGGTGTTTGATATTTATTGATTTATTCAATCATATGATATAAAAGACCTTGAAAAATATGAAATGAAAATTGATATTTTTTATTGTACTAAGTGTACCTTCAATCTATATATTATGCATATATATATATGTTCATTCATCTTCCTTCAATCTATATATATATATATATATATAGATTGAAGGACCCTGACTTATCTTTTTTGCTACAAGATTCAATCATGAGATATGTTTGATGACAGAGGCATACAAATGTGACTAAATCAAGACAGAGTGCAAGTTGAGCAGATGAGAGTTGTTTATTTCCAGCAGACAAACCCTGACTCATATATAAAGAGTGGGGGGAGGAAAGCCAAGGATTGGTCTATTATATATATATAGAGTAAATGTGACTGGGTTTCCAGAGAGAACACCCCACTCCCATCATGCGGGTGCTGTTCAGGGGTTTAGTGGTTTCTCTGGAAAGAGAGATTTCTGCTGAGCTTCTCAAGTGGCACCAAAACCACTGGTTCATGTATTCCTGTTGCCTCCAGGCCTTTTCCTGCCAGCGCCTAAAATTATCTTATGAATAGTCAGCATGTTCCACCTGATGCTGCTTGTGATTTTCTGCATTATTATACACTTTTAAAATCGAATTCATCTTTTGATTCCTGTCCAGCACATTAACTTCTGTATTATTGTGGAGAGTTGTATCATTATTATATAATGAGATTGCAAATTATGTTTTATGTTTTTTGTCAAGAAAAGTAGGTTTTTGGTCTCTTGATTATATTTTTTCTGAGACTTGCATGTTCATGAGTAACATCCGCAGTGGGAGGAACAACCAGTAGGATCCTACAGGGGTCTGGGGGGGAATAATAAGGACGTGGTGTAACATGTGTCTGTGGCCTTTTGCACCTTGAATTAATTTGCCTACTTCAAAATGCATCAATTAACATCAAGTTGTCAGGATGGCCAAGCGGTCTAAGGTGCTGCGTTCAGGTCACAGTCTGGTTCTGCAGGTGTGGGTTTGAATCCTACTTCTGCAATCCTTTTTTCATTTTTTTTTAGTCCGCACTGCAGACGCTCTAATACTTGATACTCTCCTGAAAATTATTTTCTGTTGTCTAATCTCTAATGTTCTTATGATATTGTTTGATCACACAAATGACCCATGGTATAGTTTTTCAAAATACTGGACTTTATTATTGAAATGCCATGAGTTTTTAAAAAGAGCTGAGGTATCATGTACCAAAGGGATGTTAGATGATACATGGCTTTTTTTAATTCTCACATTTTCATGAGTGTCTAAGAACTCTAAGTGGTGTAATTTCTGCAGTATATATACATTAGTAAATGCATAGCAAGAGGACCTTCTTTTTTATGCCCAGCATTTTACAGCTATAGAAATGAGCTTCAGAACGATTTGGGACTCTTGAATTACAATTGAAAAGACTCTTTCCAAAATCATGGAGGACCAAGATGAACTTTATATTATTTCTTGTCAAAAATGCCATACAAATTGTTTCATCAACTAAAACTTACATGGAAGCAGGCTAGACACCTGGTTCATCAATGTGGGTTCAATAATTGCCTCATGCTGCAAGTTTCATTACTGATATTTTGTTTTGGATATCAGGGAAGGGAAGAATAATAAGTGTATGTAATTACATCAGTTGCGCAATATTACAATTTGGGATGTGTTTTCATTTCTTTTAATATCCCTTCACAACTTATTTCTCTATTTTCCATTCTGATGTGATGGAATGTGTTTTGATGAATGTGGGTGGAGAGCAGTGGGGGTTTGGATGTGGGAACGTTGCTTGAACTTTGTGAACGCTGAAAAGTGGAATGTATTGTTTGCTGATCAATCAATACATCAATCAATAATGGACTTGTCATTCATGTGAAAATGCTTTATTATTCAGACTATAAAATAATTTCCAGGTGTCCTCTTCATTAAAGGCAAAATTATATAGTAATCCTCAATGACAAGTTGAAATTTTCAAAAGCATCATCTTCTAATAGAACTTATTCCTTTGTTATTTTTGAAGACCCTTATGACCATTTCAGGACTGCTTGACAATTTTCTCATGTGAAATATACTCACAATAAGTCAAAGCTGGAATTCCATAGAAAGTGTGGGTAAGGAGAAAATCCTTGTTCTGAAAAGCAAGCCTTGTGTCAGTGTCAGAAGTGCTATTCTCCTGCTTGGTATCTGTATATATGGTGAGGCTCTGAATTTTTAAGCAGGCCTCTGCCTTGTTCCAGCATTTTGCTTCAAATCAATACACATGCTGAACCTGGGTGCAAAGAGCTCTGTCTTTTTGGAGCTTAACTGCTGTATGTGAAACTAGCAGACCTATCAACTTCACATGCCTTATTATTTTCACATATTATATGAAGCTCAATTGTGGGCTTCATTTCCTAGGTTTAATTCAGGTCAAATATTGTACTGTACTGTGTTTTGTTGAAAGGAAGAAAAAAAACAGAGTGCACTATTTCTAAATTCAGTTTAGTCAACAGAGCTTGAAATAAATACTATGTCTCTATTTTTTTAGAATTCACATAATATCATGACTTACTGAATTTCAAAGATCCAATTTCAACTTGATTGAGGCAGATAAATCTGTAAAAAAAAGTTTTTCTGACATTTCTACAATTTTTTATGCATAATTCATTGCTTGAAGAATATTGGTTAAAAATATGAAGAATATTAAAATCTTAGAAGGAAATCTGTCCTCAGAAGTTTTACTTTAAAAGTTATCCACCTTTATTCTCATTCCTTGTTTTATATCAAGCATACATTTAATAGAATTTCTTCTCAATTTTATCAGTGCATCTACAATTTTGAATAGAAGTACAGTTAAACTTTCTATTGAGAGATTTGAGACTCAAAGAAATTGTTTCAACTGCAGGGATTATAGATGCAATGCCAGATTTTATTTGATTCAAATTGAAGCAAAATTTAAATTTAATAATTGATTCAGATTAATGATGCAAACCCATCAGAAATAGTGATTGTGAAGATGCAATGCACTATAGGTACTGTTGAATAAGCAGGAAAATTAAGGTGTTGTGTCCATATAGAATGCATCAATATATGTGTCAATATGGAATTGATGTTTAGGTGATGGGCAGCAATAACAGACTATCCATGGACCCACTTATTCCACAATTACTCAGGAAGAGCCCATTTCTCAACAGCATGGGGTGATGTAAGTGAGTTATGTGTGGAGGAAGGGAGAACTGGGGTTTGGCCTGATTGCATCATGCCTGCTGGAAGTTCATTCAATTAGCCCACCCAAGATGTATATACAGAGTGAGCAAGAGTCCTGAGCAAGGTTGTCATATCCAGCATCCATCATCACAGAGGCTCCAGCACAGTGTTTTCTGGTGGTGAATGAGACAATAATAAAATCTGAGTCCTTCAATAAAACTGCCAGTGCCCACACATTAATCTTGAGGTTAGCATTAGGTTCTAAAGAGTTTGGATAGATGTCACTGGTGAAACAGATGTCACTGGTTTGAAGGTTAATTTCCTGGAAAGTTGTCTGCCACTAATTCAACATTGCAGGGTTACCAACACTATATACTCATGTCTCTTGCAACAGAATATAAGTAAACACATGCATTTTGCTTTGCCCATTGGCTGAAAACACCTACACATATTGTGGGGGATTTCTTATCCTGAAATGGGAATGGAAGACATTTGTGTGTTTTTCCACATTTCTCTGCTATATTGTTCAAGATAATGAACCTTGGTTTCATCTCTTTTGTCCTGCTGCTGAAGGGCATGGCAACCATTGTAATTATTCTCATGTGAAACCTTCCATCCCTACATGCTCTGGTATTGTTGCCCCTTTTGTTTGATGGAGCATTGTTTTTGTGGATTTTTTTTTTGCAAGATTATATTTGACTTTGATTTATGCTTCAGAAACTTACTTATACTAGTTATATTATAAAGTGATGTAAACTTTAAATACCCAAGTATATGGTCACAAGTTTCAGGAATTTCAGAGCTTCTCTGCATACAAAATTTTTACAAGCTTTAAATTATCATTGAGACTAAGACTATTTCAGCAGAACATCAATTACGTAGTTTGTTTTACTGACCCTTTGAGATGCATTCTTGTCAGATTCCTTGATGTGATTCAAACTCTTTATAAAGTCACATTCAATTGCTTTCTGGATGAAACCTTGAATGAAAAAGAGAGCATCAACTCCATCTTCATGAAGTTACATCAGTTGTGAAATAATTTTCTATATTATCCTTTGATGAATAAATGTATCATCCTTTTTGTCTTTGGTCTCTCTGAATTCCAACCAGAGTGAGGGAAATGAAGAAGGAAGGAAGGAAGGAAGCAAAGACATTCAGGGAAATAAGGTTGGTTTGCTGTATATATACTGTACTGTACACTATATGCTGGAGCAAAGCCTGCAGCAGACAGTAAATTCTGAATGAGCTTGATTTCCTGGAGCAGCAGCAATCCCAGGGTCTCCTTCAGCATTAGAGAAAGGCACAAGCTGGGTCAGCTTTCAATTTCCATCAGCAAACCTGATGACACAATATACAATTAATACACAATCTTTTGAAAAAATATGAGGCAATGAAACTATATATAGGGAATGGTATTTTTAATTTTCAGATTTTTCATCAGCTTTACAAGAATGGAATAGAATTTTTATCCCATGAAAAAAATATATTTTGTTCTCAAAAAAATTTGAAATAGTTGTAGGTCAAAGGGAAATTTTTCTCAAACTTGAAAAAATATATATTGCAATCATTTTTGAAATTTCAAGCAATCAATGGTTTCATCCTTTGAACCAAACAATTAATTATTGCTATATCTTAAGATTCTTAACATATTTTATGGGGGAAAATGATTGAAATTTCTGAAAAATTTATATATTCATTGTTTGAGATTCTTGGTTTCTTCCTATACATATTCTCTGAACTTCCCATGGAAGATAGTGAAAGGAGACATTTTTATCTTTGAAAACTTATGATTTCCTTGAAACAGCAGGGATATGAAAATGTTAATTACTTTTCTTTTAAATTTCAAAGAAAAATTGTAGGCATTTGCTGTGAGAAGATTTGAAAATTATTCAGTGTACATCAAACAAAGTGTAAATAATAAAATTATTGAAAGTGCTGCCCTGCTGTGAGATTTATTGTTTCGAAAATTATTTTATTCTGCCACATTATTGAATGCAATAACCCCTTTGTCATTAAATCAGTGTCGCTGTGAACCCTCGAAAATGTGCACGTTTTATTATATTTTTCTCCTCTACACCTCGTACCCTTTGCATATATGCAAGCCCTTTATGTGCCAGGAACAGGGTCATGCTATTATAAACCCCACCCTGTCCTTTATATAACATTCTGGCGAGGTTTAATCGATGTTTCGGGCCAGGTTTTTCTAATGCACGACCTGTCACAACGGCTCACGACAGCAAAGTGCAAGCACAGGATGCACAGTAATCACGCGCGTCTCAGTCATGCGACGGTTATCCCCTCAATTTTCAATTATTGACATAATCAAGATTTTAATTTTTACAGATTTATTTGCTGACTCGACATTGCGCGACACCTAACCGCGAGTTTGGCGAATCCCGCGCGTTTCAATCGAACCGAGGACAGAGGTCGCAATGATGCCAGCGAGACGCGCGCCTCCTCAACTGCGGTTCCAAGACACACCTGTTCGGGACACGCGTGAAGTGTCTGCTGATGGTAAAAGTTGAACAGCGCTCTTTGAGTTTTCCGCTGGCTCGCGCTTATCTTCATTGTTTGTCTCGTATACACTGAAGCAGAAGACGGACAGGCACAGGGGAAACGCAGGCTGGTGAAGCAACAGTCCCTGCCGGCGTCCACCACCACCGTCATTGTTGGTGCCGGTGGTGGTGGTGGTGGTGGCGGCAGTATTGAATCCCCCCGCACCCCGCCGCCCACATGCCTGTTGCCCGCGGGCGCAGGGCGGCCAAAACTCCGCAAGCGAATCACGTTCGTGCTGGTGGACGAGCCAGTATGTTCACTTGCTTCTATATATACTGGGAGGCAATATATTTTCTTTTGGAAATATTTATAGAGCACAGTCATGAAGTCAGGGACCAAATTTTAATTACTGCAGTATTTTGCCTTCTTATATTGTGTTTGTTGCTTTACTTTTGCCAACATCTTATAAACATTGGATTTTTCACTTTTTTAAAGATAGTGTCTGGCTCCAATAGCAATCAGCATAATTACACATGGTTCAAAAACTATGCAAAAAAATGATTGGAGTTTTTTGCCACTTTTCTGCATTTCAAAATGTTTTTGTTGGTATCAAGGGAAAATTAGTGATATTCCAGTATATGTATGCATTTAAATTTTTATATTGGACATTTAACATCAATTTTTATCAGCCTGTGGGGTGGAATATTCCCAAAGATTTTGTGGAATAAAAGTTCAAGTTTTCATCAAAGTAAAAGTAGATAATTTTTAAAATGTGGTTGAGAAATATTATTTCAAGAGTTACAACAAAAGTGTATGAGTTATAAAATTTCCCTGATCAACATGCAAAGGTTTTGAAGAAATTTTCAAAGAAGCCTGACTTTTTTATTAGTTTGAGGTGACACCTGTTGACAAAGATTGAAGTAACTTACATCAGAGCATTGAATGGAGTTTTCTTTATTAGTACTTTACTCTACAGGAGAAGATTGTATCATAATGTAGGCATGTGCTGTATGTGGTGTCTCAATGATGCAGTTGTAAAACCATGGAATGTAATTTGATGCTCAACTTGATCAATGTTATTAGAAAATTAATTCCAATTTTTCTGAGCTTTTTTATTGACACTATGGATATATGCTTACAATCAAAGTTCAAGTTCATATGGACCTTTAATTAAAATGTAACAATTAAAGGGCAGGTTTTGAAGTGTGGTTTTCATTTCTTTTTGCTGACAGAATTTAATGTTTTTTGTGTTTGATGGAATACAGATTTAGTGAATAATGTGTGCATAGATATTGCTGGATATAGTAGTTTTCACTGGGATATCCCTGTGTGCTGGATATACAGTGTATATATATACAGTATACTGGTTGCAGGAGACAAAGTGTTTACTGGCACCAGCCCCCATGAACAAGGTGCTGAGGTCACCAGTGGCTCACCCACCCAGGGAGCTGTTGGCAGGCAAGCACAGCCTGGATGTGGAGGAGGATGAAGAGGATGATGTGCCAGAGTTGGTGCCTAACCTCAACTGGTCAGAAGACCAGGTGTCCAATGAGCACTTTGAGTTGGCCAGGGAGAAGTTGAGGGACTTGCTGCTGGCTGACCCTGTGCTCAGGGAAAAGGCTGAGGTGTTTGTCAGGGCCCTGGTGGAGAAGGCCCAAGAAGAGGCCCTGGCCAGACAGGATGATGACCAGGTCAGAACCCATGAGCCTTGTTTATACCCATCAGGTCTTATAAATACTGTATACATATATATATATATATATATATATATATATATGCAAGCTTGCAAAAGGTTTTTGCTGTTCTGTGGGAAATTTTCTTCAGCATGATAATTTTTTTTAAAGTAGCAATTAAGTTTGTTACTTTATGCTGAAATGTTGGAAAGACAACAGTTATTGAAATTATCTGAAGAGAAAATACTGTAAAAGTTGGCCTCTCTCCTACAATAATACCGTGCTTCCAATAAATTTGTATGTGCTGACATAAATTATTTTGAATTTTTTATTCTGAGAAACCTTTCTTCAAGCCCACTTTTCTATTCTTTTGAAAGTCATTCCAGTATCTGCTGCTGTTCATCCATTGGTTGTTAACTTAATTTTTTCAAAAAATTGAAACCTTTTTAAATACCTGTTGTAAAGTCTTTCAATCAAGATTTTCTCAAGTCTGCACAACTTTTATGTTTCCTTGCCTGTCCAAAGAATTTTTTGCAAACTTTTCAGTCTGCAATTTTGGATATTTTCTGTTTTTTTAAATACCTGTTGTAAAGTCTTTCAATCAAGATTTTCTCAAGTCTGCACAACTTTTATGTTTCCTTGCCTGTCCAAAGAATTTTTTGCAAACTTTTCAGTCTGCAATTTTGGATATTTTCTGTTCCATGAACCCAAAAAGTTTGGGGCACACTTCTGTAGATGATTATCCAATCCGCTTTCATAATTTACCTGTTCTAAACTGTGAGCATTGCTTTTTCACCAATTTGGTTTAGCTCCTATTTTTTCAGCACTTAATTTTACAAGCTATTCTTTGGCCAGAAAAATTTTTGTTCACCAACTGACCAACATTAGTAAATCCATTTTAATTCCCAAAATCAAAAAAAAATTTGGTCAAGGATATTTCCACAGAAGAATTTGCATTTATTTACATTTTGCAGCACTTTGAAATCCCTACAAAACTGGCAGGTTGAATCTATTTTCTCACATTGAAGGGGTTCAAATTCTAAATTTAGCTTTCCATCTTTTATACTATTCAAATTGATATTCAGCAGAACAAAATTTTAGACCTGAAAAGCTGTGTGAAAATTTTAGCCATTTCACATTGGCTCAAGAAACCCTATGATTACTTGAAATATATCTCTTTTTATTCAATATATATGTTAAAAAATAACATATTTTGGTGACATATTCTACGAGAACATATGAATTTAGAATTAGAGCTGACTGTCTTAAGATTTTCAAATGTTTTGAAATGCTTATTTTCCATGGATCTAATATTTTATCTAACCCACAAAACTCTTGGAATCCAATTTTGAATCACTGAAAAATGTTTGACCTTTTGCATCAGAATAAGAAATGCTGGTGTAATGACTTCACTGGAATCTGCTCTGTATATATAGTGCAGTACATGCATACATTGTGTTGGCCCTTGTTATCATTCAAATCCAGTGCAACCAAATAGGGCAACTTTCTCTCCCAGTTCTTCTCCTCCACTCCTCTTGGATGTGGTCCCACTGATAACAAGCCAGAGAGAAAAAAAGGCAAGGACACCAACCAAGATTTGTTTCTTTCATTGGTTGACCTGCTTCCTGTGTTTGAGAGAAGGAATCAAGAGTGTTTGTGCAACAACTGCAGGCACTTGATAATATGCTGATGATTTTTTTGTTGGGCACCTGTGGGAGGAAAGAATTTATTGGTGGAAGAATCCAGACATTTCTGAGATGGTTTGCAGAATATTTCTCAATATGCAGAGTCTTGATGAAAACACAGTGGGATTGGGAATGAGAGAAGCATTTGAAAGAAAGAAAAGGAGCAATGGAGACTGTGTTTCAAGGAGTATGCAGGAGATGAGGAATTTATTCATGAGAGGAAGAATTCCATGGATGGCTTACAACTCTGAATGCATAAGGTATTGGGTGTCTGTCACAAAAGAATATTCCTCCATCTTATGTATCAACAAGTTTGGCAATAGCTGATGTCAACTGAAGCCATTCAGGAAGTTTTGATGTGAACAACATCTTGAAACAAACTGCCCACTAAAGTACCTTTGAAAAAATACACTGGTTTAAGAAATTGTTTGATATATTTTCCATATTGTATCCAGAATTGAGTACTTTATTAAAAGCAAAAGACTTTGTTCAATTTCTCAAGTGAAATACATCAATAAAGGCAGAGAAAAGATTCTAATTCCTCAATTTTATCATCTGAAAAAGGCAGATAATGAATTTTTATGTTCTGAGATGTGTTTTATCTTTTAATGGCCATATGTTACTGTGAAACCCCAAGAGGCAGACATAATTGGTGCATCAAGAGTGTCATGATGTATTTAATTGCTTCTTCTTTTTGTCAAAAATTAAAAATAAGTCCTCAAAAAATTTAATAAAAAATTTGCCCTCAACTTCAAGTTGTAGAAAGCAACAGTGCAGAACAAACCCACCTGGAATCTGATCTTTTTGGTATCAAATGGAGATCAAAAAGTAGAGAAGAAGATTATGTCTTGCTAGAATATGCAAAGATGATAGAAATGAAAACTCTGAAAAAAGAAACACCAAATCAGTTTTCTTTTGATTATGAATTGGAATGAATTTAACATGAAGTATTTTTCAATTTTTTGAATATAAATACTGTAACTTGATTTCTTCAAAAGATGTCAAAATTAAAAAATAAAAATTTCCAATATTTGGGAAAATTTCAGAAAAGTGTCCCTAACTTGAGCCAATGTCCAAATGTTGGGCCTGATTTTTTTTTCAAGTGTCCCCAAGTCAACTTGTTGGTATGTTGGGGTGTCTGCATAATATTGGGGTCTCACTGTATTCTTAATTTTTTCAGTCTTGATACTCCAGAATGTTTTTGAATTATTTGTATGATATTGTATTTCAATGATGGGATGTGGCAAACAATTTCTGAACCTCCCAAATGCTGACAAGCAGCAAATAAAGCTTGTCTATCTATCTCTATATATATATTTACAATATCATTCTACATACTGTATATAGGAAAGCAAAATTAAAAAAATTGGGTTTCATGCAGGCTTCAGTTGATTTTCTGGGATTACTCCTGAAGCCCCTTTGGTGGTTATTACTGTCTCTGAGCTCTTTGATGTGCCTCTTTGAAGCTCTTTTCTCTTTCTCTGGGGAACATGTTGTGCTTATGGAGAGCACTTGAATAGGATC